AAACCTTGTTGGCCTGCTTGAACGGGCAAACCTTGTTGGCCTGTTTGAACGGGCAAACCATGGTTGGCCTGCTTGAACGGGCAAACCATGTTGGCCTGCTTGAACGGACAAACCTTGTTGGTATGCTTCAGCGGATAAACCATGGTTGGCCTGCTTGAACGGGCAAACCTTGTTGGCCTGCTTGAACGGACTAACCTTGTTGGTCTGCTTCAAAGGATAAACCATGGTTGGCCTGCTTGAATGGGTAAATCTTGTTGGCCTGCTTGAACGGGTAAACCTTGTTGTTCTGCTTGAGGCTGTTGTTTGATTTGGCGTTGGGACATTTTGGTGTTTGAAATAACGTGAGATTTCAGGAGCTGATAACGGTCGGTAGTTATCTCGAAGAGTGATGTCAAGGTGGAGTGAACAGGGGAGTATTCTGCGCGACCATGCGCGTCGACGCTGACCATGAATTTATTATTGCTGGCTCGCCTCAGGGAAAGCCTTCTCTCTCGAAAGCGTGGCGGCAAAATTCGAATTCGAACATGTATCGCGCTATCGTTTCGTTTGTCTTTCTAACACTTTTATGGTGTTACTCAGAATGTGGAAATACGAAAATAAAATGTGTAATATGCGGAAAAGTCATTTCTGTTAATCGAATGAAACGGAGCAGGCCAGCTGCTTCGTATTTGGACAAAATTCCGCTCTCGTCGCGTCCAAATTGCAACAACGCACGTATCTGTGGTGTGTGTTTGGCGGCCCTATCCAGGTCAGCCAAACCCGACGAAACCATTACCAAAGTAAGTAAATTAGTGTTTATTTATCAAGTTTTATTCATATTAGGTACAATAGCAGTAATGACTACATTTATTAAATCGCAGCTTATAGGAAAATGTTCTTCTGGCAAGTCTGGAAGACCCTCCAATAGTTACAAATGTCGTGCTAAGCTGAAGAAAACAACCCTCTCGCAAGAAGCAGGCACACAAACAATGGATAATGTATTGTCTCTTGCGCCATGGACGGTGGAAGATACCTGCTTTGGTGAGATTCTCCGTGGGCCATGCGGCCGGACGTTATTCCCCCCTGGGCTGTTTGAAGAGTTAGAGGATCAGATGATGCAGCTCTCAAAACGTAAGTTTGGCTACACAGACGTACATCAGATAACGCCGTGTGCCAGGTGTGAAGGCGGTGGGAAACCAAGAGCTCTAGACTGATATGTAACACACATACTACATAGTGCTATCTTAAAACAAGTGCTTGATAATACTATATTGGCAATACCGCATGGGTGTGATCTGTCAAAGGAATTAGAAGACTTAAAGTTGTTTATGTATAAAGAATTTACAAAATTGGGAAGGCCACCAGTGTACGACCCAGAGGAATTTGAGTTGTTGTGCCACAGAGCCGGGGCAAAATCTATTTTCAAAACAATCACAGATGCCATGACAACTGAAAGACAGTCAAAAGAAAGGGAAATCGCCA